GCCTCAAAGTTCGTCCTTTGGCCACGCCCTTTTGATTTGGCCAGGCGAAGTTAATACTGGTAACTAAAAGTCCCTCATGACGTCACAGCCAGAACGTCTTTCGATCGATGTGCCTATATTCACTAGACTATGCGAAGCTACATGTACTTGAGACTTTTACGACTTTCTTGTTGCTTTCTGAGATATTTACCCATTTAAAGGCGCATTATAAAGAGAATATTAACGTATCTATAGATTCGACACAAAATTCCGAAGATTACGCTCCATGATCGATGGTGTTTCTGTTTCAACAGGTGGGTCAGGAGGCACTTCAATTTCAACTTCGCATTTTTCAATTTCTTCTCTTTCTCTGTTCTCGTGCGATTCTATAGCATCTCGTACGATCTAAATTCCATTCATAAAATACAACTTCACCTCACGATCGACAAAAAAAGACCAGGACCAGACACTACTTTAATACAACTTCTTACCTGTCGGCGACTTCGATCAGACAAATTGCGTGTTTCATTTTCATCGCAGGCGTATATTCGCGGAATGGGAGACGTCCCAATGTGGTCTTTTACAAGTTGAGGACGGGTTATTACAAAATCGAATCGCTGACAGTAGTCTTCAGGCGAAAAATGACGAGAGCATATCACAGATGTTGCTGAAGGTTCAAACTTGGCGCGCTTTCTACTCACAGAGTCCATCCACTGCTTCCTTCAGACCTAGCTTCAGGGCGATCATCGCCATAAAACGGTATTTTATGGAGGAATATGCATTAAGACGAATCTGGTGTATTTTAGCGACCGCGCAACGAGTCGCCATTTTCACATCATTTTACAGCAGTAGACACATGTTCTTATACAAGAAGTTAACATTCGTTCTTGCTGTGACGTCACTGAATGTTGGAGAGGTAGTAGGCTCGGCCCAGTAATTCTCTCCCGGCCAAGTCAAAAGGGCGTGGCCAAAAGAGTAACTTTGAGGCGGCATATCTCGGGAAATATTTAATCAATCGCAAAAATATTATTTGGAGATTAATCCTGATAACGCAAAGAATCGAAATATATATAAACCTCTAGGGGGTGAATAGGCACTTTTAAACATACTTCCATCAGTTCCATCATATTGTTATTCAACTCCCAGCCGCGCTAGCAGTGACATCTTAGACAATCAATCGCTTTGACGAAGGGCTAACGCTTGAAACGTCAGCTGCTGAATTTCTTTATTGTGGGTAATCTACATCATCAACTCATTTTCAAATGAGTTGATGAAGTTAATAAAACCAAATCATCTCGTAATACCCTTCACGGACGCAGCACCACCATTTAGAGACTTACTTTAGATTAATCCAGTAGGGAACAAATGGAGGTCTGGCCAGCAAGATGTGTTAAGTCCGTACTTTTTGAATTTGTCTTCATCGATTACAGAATCTATGGCTCCACTTTCACCGGCAACATCAGGTCAAAGTCAGCCCTTATGTCATGGAAAATGGGCGTTCCTTCGTTCGAGAGAAAGGCCTTTGGTTCGGTTCCCGTTGGGGCCACCTGGCTTGTGTTTGCCTTGTGCTAATAACTGAAATATCGTTATACAAACAATTTGAGCACATTATCAATTTTCCGTTTTATTTATTATTCAAAGGTGTCTCCATCTGCAGCTTCAGGCAAGCTATCCAAGAAAGACATATTCCCTTATTTCTTCAGAACGGTTCCAGCATTATCTGCTGCAAATCGTACATTTATCGCTATCGCGAAAACATTTGCGTGGACTAGAGTGGCCATACTATACCAGAGTAGAGAACTTTTTACATCCGTGAGTATATTTTTTTGCCTTTAGACGACGACTTTCACATTTTGTACACAAGGGCAAAATGACGGCGATCTTAAAGCGTCTACCCGTTTACGTGGGCATGGCAATCAGGCTGGCCCGGCCCGACCACCTTGTTATCTGTTTATGATGGGCAACTTTGCTTAGCTAACCTTTCTATCAGTTAATAATAAAGACTATTTAAACGGCCAATTTTAGCTCGGTAAGGCCGATCTGAATTACAAGTTTCTTTCCGGTAGTGAAACTGACTTGAGTGTTCCAACAAGTCAGGGAAAATTTTCCAATGTAACCATCAAGATCTCCTTAGCTTAAACCATGTCCATAGGCTTTCTGCAACGAAGGTATAAAAAATTTTCAGCTGAAGAAAGAGTGGCGTGGATGGATATACGAAACGTTGTTAGCCGTGTGGTTAATTCGAACGAAACTAATGAGATTTATCCTCTGTTGGAAATTTTATAGGCAGCAACAAGCCTCAGAGAAGAATGCAAAAAGAACGGAATTGACGTGATCTCTTATGGAAGCTTTCTGACGGACCCAAAGAGTCAAATAAAACATCTTAAGGTATCGCTTTAAAATCAGACGATTCTGCCTAATTTTTAAGCTTAGCTTCGCTCGGAAATGATACTTAGAGTAGACTTGATAAGAAGCATTAGTTTACTTTTTCAAACGGGACCTTTTACCGCAAGCGAAGGATTTCAATTTTAGAATATCCATAGCTATCTGGCTCTTTTAGAAGAAACCCACCAAGTTTTGTAGAAATTTGGTACTATCATCGCCAGAAATTCGAATCATCTCCACAGCTTTAATTTATTTAGAACAATGGTATTCATCAAATTCCTCTTGGAAATCGAGCTCCCACCTAAATAGATAGACTCGATAGTCGAGGATGGCGAGGTAAGACATTTACTTAATCAGTGGACCAGTAAGCAAGTTAGAGTTTCTGAACCTCTGCCTAACACATGTTGTTTTTGTCCTACGCCTTAAACTTCACACAGGACATTGATGCTAGGATCATATTTGGTTTCTTCACCCATTCAACCAGAACTATGTGCGAGGTAAGGATTGCGTTTCGGGCTAACTTTACATCTGAAAAGACACCATCATCGAGTCTTATCATAGCGGAGCTCGCAGTGCGGAAAGCGCGCACAGCGAAGACCCATACTTACAAATGTCCCACAAAACTCACAACATTCGTTTTAGGAACTCTTTAGAAAAGTGTATACGTTCCTTTATCGTGGCAAAATCGAGAAGAGAAAATACTGGATATATCTGGAAAAAAATCGTGGGCTTTATGAGGGTGATAGGGGAGCAAGGGGGGAGCCGACGATCTGACTTCATTTTCGTTCAAACTGAATATATTTGTATTTCACTTTACTTGTACTACTTTAGTATATTACCAGAACACTGATTTCTCAGAAAAAAGCGCTTTGCTGAGATAACAGGGTCTGAATCTCATAAAGGTTTTGATAAACTTTCTCTACAACAAAACAAAAAACGTAGAAAGTGAAAAACGCCGTCCCTGGTAGATTGATTGTCACTGAACATGCTGAAAAAGAGCTTTCAGAGACTTTTACGATACGATCAACAATTCACAATTCATAACTTTCGATCAGTTATCATTTTTTTCTTTATAATCCACGACTGCACGTCTTATTTTGTCGCAAATATCATTTGTCCGTAATATTTATCAGGCTGTAGGCCCAATCCTTTAATTCCCTAGGACATAAGCATAATCAATCCGTGGGAAATAGTGATTTTTTTTCACCATCAGATCTACAAGCATAGCATGCATGGGCGAAAGTACGGTTGGGTTATTAACACCCCTGACAAATATGGATGGTGGAAAAGAACTTTAAAAAATGTCAACTGCTCACCAGAAGAAGTCAATGAGGGCGCAAAAGGGATCCTCTTGGTTAACTATATGTGGCTCAGCAGCTCAAAGAATGAAACAGTGTCTGGAATGGTTAGTAGACATACATGTCTTTTCAAAACATATCGTTATCTTTCAGAGGCGTTGTTCAAAAAAAGGCTCGATATTTGAGGTCCCCGGATGTCATAATCAGCATTCTCATCTGTGATCATACACAAACCCCACTGCTATCTGAGTCATTTCTGTACAGCCCATTGGATACAAATGTGAAATGCGTATTAATTAAATCCCTTTCTCTATCAGACACCCAAAAAGTTCCAATCCAGTTTCATTCAGAAGGTTAGGCTATCAAGTGTAAATGACACAGACTACAAAGGGTTTGCATATGATGCAGCCTGGCTTGTTGCCCTTGCGTTGAATAGAACAGCGCAGAATTTGGCTCCAAAGATTCGTCTTGACACCGTTGCATTTGGAGAAAGAAACTTCTCGGACCTAATGAGGAAAAATCTCTTGTCGACGAAATTTCGGGGCGTTACGGTAAGTCCAAAGTTAAGACAAAAGCATTTCCATGCAGATTTTTGATTGGCTAAAGTTGATCCATCAGTAACTGCTGTAAAATCAACGATTGTGTTACTTGTACCTGCCTCTTCCCGTTAGTTTGTTTGTTTTTTGTCTCTTTTTTGTACACTCTTTCGTCCTTTAGGCATTTCCATGAAGTTTAAGGAGGTTAACTTCAAATGGTAAAATAGAAAGAGGTTATAGGTAACAAGAGGTCAAGCGAGTTTTGAGATCAATTTCTAGCTTTTAAACTCAGTCTTGTCAAAATTAGCATTGAGACTTCTTTAGAAGAAGCAGGTCATCAATCTAGTCACACCATGCAGGTAAAATTACAACCTTACTCGAGGAACTTCCAGATATTTTACAGAGATGAGCTCAGCGCCACCTCTAAGGCTGTAACGTACCAGAAACTCCACAACTTGATTCATGTTATATCGCAATCAGTTCCCTTTCAGAACTCGATCCATTAAGCACGAACACTAAGGGTTTAAGAGAAATATTACGCTTTACCACGATAGGGGCTCGTTTGAGCTGGTGTTGAGCCTTCATGTCTAAGAGTTGAAGAAAGTTACCAACTTTAACTGGGTGCTGATAAAAGTATTGAGAGTTCTCGTTTTCTATCAAAAAGAATGAAATTTGTAAAGTAGCAGTGTTTTCCCTTTTTAGAGCATCGTAAAACTAAATGACAAAGGAGACAGGTCAGGCGTTTTTGAAATATCACAGCTGATAGGTATGTTGTGCTTTTTTTCAGTCGCACATTATGATAGTTTTGTATCATATATGTAAAAAAATGTAATGCACTCTCAGTTTGAACAGTAGGCATGATTTTGGTACAAAGGTTAAATTTTATTGTTATATTTTTAAATGTATGATTCCGAGCTTAATTGTACTATGATAACGAAAAAACAGAAAAAAAAAACACGATACAAAAACTCCGAAGAAACAGACTGAAAAATAATGTAACATTAACTTTAATCAAAATAGGATCAGAGTTTGAAGCTATCTGCAGTCACGATGTTGGACAAACCTCCTTAGTGTTTTATCCTGGGAAAGAGTTTCATTGGGAAGGTAAGCCTTAAATCTTAAACCAGTTTTGCCCGCCGAGTTTAAAAATACCATCAAAGAAATCGTGTCGACTGAATCGAAGTAATGTAAGCAAGTAAGGCCAATATCTACTGATTAAGACTGAATTACAAAAATGTGCTTAGTGAATCTCGTGCCTTCGTAAAGTTGCTAAGCGGCTGGTGTGTTCATTTTTCTTTATAAAAAAGATTTTAATTTGCATTTGTAAAAACCATTAGATAGCAAAAAACTGATTTTATTAAGGGTTGAAAAATTTTAATGGCTGTCACTTATAAAATACGGCATCTTATCCCGATAGAACTAGCATAGACTTATTCAAAACAGAATATTTAAAGTAATCTCAAAAAGAAAGCCAAGACTTAGCTGAAATAGTCAAATGTTTGATTTGAACTATGAATGAAAATACGAGTAAAACTCAAAATCCTCGCACTTTAAGAAATTACAGGTCAAGAAGCCTGAAGTTACGATAGCCTCTATCCCGTACTACTCAGATTCTAGCGAGCGCTAGTATTAAACAACTACGAAGCCACAACCAGGAAAATTTTAATGGTTCTTTGTTCAATGTCGAGAATAATTAATTTTGCAATGTTCTTGTTTACTCCCTTCTTAGGAGGGGTAGCGCCCGTGGATCGACAGAGTGAACAGAGGCAGCTGTTCACAATGTCCATCTCTGTTTTTTACTTCATGTGTTCCATGGCTTCCTTTGGAATTTTCTTAGCGTTCACGTTCTTATACTTTAATATAAAGAACAGGAATAAAAGGTAGAACGAATTGTTTGATATTTTAAAAATTCAAAACGAAATAGCCGTAGCACTATGATGTACTGTCTTCATTATATAATTGTTCATTGGTTAAGTCCATTGTTTAATCGACACCAAAAAATTTAAAGAAAAACATGTTGAGCTGTGACTGTACAAGATTCCTCTTTTCCCTTTTTAAACTGCCATCTAGTCGTTCATTGGTCTTTTTTTTTTTTCAATAAGCCTGAGCGTTGTAGCGTCCAATGATTATTTTCAAGGTTAAACTGTTTTTACTTATCTGCTAGTTTGACTGACAATACCTTGTTTAGGAAATAGAATGATACTAATCTATCAGTCGATTAATACATCAAATAGAAGATATATCTTTATATCGTTTTATCCAAACATTGACTATTGCGTCTAGCAACTAGCGCAAAGGTTTCTTTATTAACCACGCAATGACTTTCATGCCATGTCATGTAAACTCGATGTCATACAATCACATGTTACTTCGTGTCATATAGCAGAAAAACGAAGGTCTTTCGTGTTACCGTCAGTAAACTATTACGTATTTTGTTTCTTGTCAGACTTATCAAGATGTCGAGTCCAAACCTGAACAATGTTATAATCTTAGGTTGCATTCTGTCGTACATTTCTGTCATTCTGTTCGCGTTCGATGGAGATCATCTTAAAGCTGAACTTTGCACGGTAAGTTCCCTTCTGTAATAAATATTCCAATGTTGATGAAACGACTAAGACTGTGCAGGTACTAATCCTGGTAACTGTTCTAAAATAGCGTTTTAGAATAACATCAGAACAATTCACATACCTGTGCTGCGAAAAGCGCAGAGAGAGTTCAGTTGATGCAATTTGTAGGAAAAGCACTCACGTACTGACCCTAATTCAGTCAGGTTTGTGCCGCAACTCGTTGTGCATGTGTAGCTTGACTAGTTGACGATTAGCCTACTGTTCCTCGCAAATGGGACATATCCATAGAATGTTGAGTTAGTTCAATCAGTTAACTAAATTCTATCAAACAAATAATATTCTTTCCTTTTTTGCAACTCATTTATTGTAACTTTTTTGATGACTTAGACAAGGACTGCTACGCTTTGTGTCGGCTTTACGTTTGTCTTTGGTTCCTTGTTTTCAAAAACGTGGCGCGTTCACAAGGTCACCAGGATAATAAGTGCAAAGAAACTGGTAAGGAATAGAACTCCTGTTTGCGTCAAGTCTTTTCCTCTTAGCTCATCTCTTCCACTCTTTGTTAACTTCCCTATAATGTGTCACTTTTCATTTTGCCCGTCCTCTTTTCAGAGTTTAGAAACTTCACTTCGTCTCTTTTTGAATACTTTTTCTTGTTTTATAAATGCCCTTTTAGTAAAAGTAATGAAGTCTTCAAGCGTATTGGCAAGTTTTGAAAAGGCATTCCTCTTAAGAATTTTCCGTGGCAGGAGACGCGGTTACCTAATGGTTAGTGGGCTGGACACCGGATCGAGAGGTCTGGGCTCGAGAGCTGCCAAGTCATTGTCTTGTACTCTCGGTCAAAAAAAAAAACTTCACTTTCCCAGTGCCTCTCGCAACTCGGGAGCATAAATAAAATAACCATGTTACTCCCACTGACACAGCACCATAGTTTCTTTTAGAAATTTACCCCATTTATTGACTTGGGGAAGGACTGGCTTCCCATCCAGGGTGAAGTACCAATACTCTTAGTCGCCTCTTGCTAGGAAAACGGGGAATAATCCCTGGCTGGAATGGCCACTTGGCTTGCGTGAAGAATTAACGTTTAGAAATTTATTGGTGCGTTAATTTTCGGATGTTTCAGATTATCAAAGACTTGCATCTCTTTGGCGTCATTGGCGTTCTCATTCTCATCGACGCTGTCATCCTTCTACATTGGAACTTTTTGGATCCTTATCAGAGGCAAATCAAATATCTCTCAGCACTGGTAATTAAAAGAAGTATACATGGATTTCTATTCTTTATAAAAAAACTTGTTTCGGTTCTGTATGCAATGACTGATGAAAAGAGTCTAGTACTTTTGAAAGTTCGTTTTTCATGTAAAAAAGGATTTGATGTCCTCATTCAGGAAGGAAACTGGGAAAGAGGGCTTTGACTCATTGTTATTTTACCGAAGTTGAGTAGTCTTTCATATACCGGGGGATCTGTGCCCGCTGTTCCTCTGGTCCTCTTTACCCACCATTTCTCTGGTCCTGTGTACTCACTGTTCCCCCGGTCTTTGCCCCCCCACCCGTCCTTATATGGTTACTACGCCTTTTTTATTGACTATTTCAGATCCCGCCATTTGAGAGACTACCCCCAAGTATTTTTGTCGATCGGGTCGTGAGTTAAGGAAAATCAAAACTCGAATTTAACGGCGGGGAAACTGATCAAAAGTCAGAGAAAAGGGAGGTTTGACCGCCATCTTCAAAATTTAACAGAAAATTAAGAAAAAACTTTCTAATACAGTGAATTTGGTCTACTTGTTCATAGAACAATCACGAGGATGACAATATTCTTCATTTACCGTACACGTATACGTGTGAAGTCAACCACATTGAAATCTGGCTGGGCTTGCTGTATTCCTACAAAGGAATCTTACTTCTGTTTGGTTTGTTCCTGGCTTGGGAGACAAGAAATGTTAAGATACCTGCCTTGAATGACTCTCACCATATTGGTAATTTTTACTGAACTGGAATAACCGCTCTAGTAACTAGAACAATAATTGGTGATCTTTTCCCTTCGCGCCTCAGGAGTGTGCGAGTGAGAATTCCTCGTCTAGAGGCCTTATTGATGACGGATTATGAAAGATTGTAAAAATTTCACGACTTCGTACATGATGTGACCCAGGTTCCGGTAAAAGAACCATTTTCATTTTGGGAAGTGTCTCCGAGTTGATTTGTGGAGCAAGAGTTAGTGAATACTTCTAAAATTATAAACCTTACTCGTTTTCTTTCCTTATCTTTAGTAATTACAAGGTGTGTCAGACCCGGGATGTAAAACTCTACTTTAGGTTTATGACAGAGGGGTATTTCTGAATGCAAAGGTTTTTGGTATCTGGGAGGGGTATAAACGGCATCTCTACACATCTCTCCTCACTCAGATGTGCTGCCACGTGTAAAAGATTTGTGTTTAAGGCTATTTCATCCTCTCTTTTTTTTTTTTTCTCTTCAGGTATGGCAGTTTACAACGTTGTAATCGTGTGCATTGTTGGAACTCCGGTCGTAACTTTTGTACACGAAAAGCAATTCGAGGCGTCGTTTATAGTCACAGGCATCTGTATTCTGTTTAGCACAACCTCTACCCTTTGCATTGTGTTTGTACCAAAGGTAGGATTCCCTGAGTAGAGTCGGAAACACGAATGCTATTTATAAAAAAGTAAATATTATCCTCAGTCTTTCAAAACGAGAAAGCATGAAATTTTTACTTTTTGTTATTCAATTTTATTAGTATTTTATTTTACCGAGGTAAACGCTAAATAAAAAAGATCCGTGCAACTAATTTTCCATCCTTCTGCTTTAGTGATACTTAGGACAGCTAGTTAACCTCCCCTCCCCCAAGTTTTGCCGAAACATCATACATGCTTCCTTCTTCATGTTGAAAGTTTCTTTTCCGGCCTCTTTTTCTTTTTTTTTTCTTGCTGCCAATTTTCTAGTTACCAACATTGACAAAGGGGGAAGGGACAAATGTTGAAAACGATTTTGACGAGGGATAGGATGCTTCTCAGTGCTATTTAGTTTAAATGATTATTTTACCTAGTGCTTCTATAAAATCCACGTCAGAAAGAAATTTTCCTGGTTAAAAACTATAATATATACCAGTGATAATTAATATAGAATACTAATGCTATGATAACAGCAATGGTGATAAAAATGATAATGATGATGATGACTATTGCAATCATCATTTGTTTCATTCAATCTATTGTCATTAACCTGTTCAATGATTTTGCATTTTCCATCATCTCAAATCTGCCTCTAAATTCTGCAATAGATAAGTGATTGACTCTTCTCAGATTGCAGCGCTAAGGAAATACGGAATAAACGAGGAGTACCGTGCTCGGACGCGCACCTTCAGCTCGTTGGATACATTTGCCACCACCACAGCAAAATGTTCCTGTTCTGGTAAAGACACCATCAACAAGGATGGAGAGCTTCAACGTCTTAGGGAAATGCTAGACACGGTACGTAGTCGGAGGAATGGAGGTGGTAAGGTAACTAGGCGAGCGGGGTTGAGTGGGGCTGGCATACCAGGAAAGGGGAGCAATAGACCATTATGGCCTGGGTACGATTCCTCCGACCTGACGTCACATCTTGGTTGGGTGCGTTGTTGGTTCTCGCCTTTACTCCGAGTGTTTTCTTTGGTTTCTTCCCTCCAAAAAACTCACAAAATTCGAAATCATTAGTTAGAGACAGCGGACAAAAGCATACCATTCGTTAATGTAACCTCGTGTTTTTTCCACAGACCTAGCTGTTTAATCTACCAGCCGGAGCTAAATCTGCCTAAATGAATGGGTTTGTTTGTATTTATTCACAGCTTCAACGAGAAAAGAAAAGAACGGTTCACAGCAATGGAAGCAACGTAACCACGCATTTGTGAGATGAAGATAAGACTGGATTGAACAAATACTAGCAATTTTACCAAACTCTTCAAGTGACCACATTTTCGTTAAGAAGTACGACGAGGGACTTTCATGATCTCATAGCCATAAAGATAAAGTTTCGCGGTTTCTTTCTTTATGAGCTGACTGCTTAAACACCATATCGTCAATTAACACCGTTTAATTTAGAAATCAAGGAGAACCTTGAAAAACTTGGCGGTTTTTTCGACTCATACAGAAGACTATGGTGGAAATGTACTTCTCGGGAAGGTGAATGGCAGATCACATCCTTCCTTCAAAATATAAGTTACACTTCCCACAAAAGGGATCATACATTCCAGTATTGTGAATTTTAATTCGTTTGCAAATCAGTTTAGAAAAGTTTCTAACGATTACAATTTAGGGCTTTTACAATTTCATGTATGGTCTCCCTGGGGTTAACCATTAGCCGTAAAACGGCCAAAACAATTTGGTCGTAAGGCGTAAAAATGAACAAATTTTAACTGTTAGTCATAAAATAAGTTAACTGAAAACATTTTTCGTTTAATTACAAGGGAAGAAAGTTAACCGTTCACCGTAAAATGGCCAAAATTTTAACCGTTTGCTTTTCAAGCCATCACCCCATTGAGACCCTCACAACATTCTAAAATTTCCAAATTAATTCCAAATCACTACAAAATTAGCTAAGAATAAGTTTCACATGCAGATAGTCGAAGTACCTGAGCATGGTGTTTCTATACCTACGGGGTACTTAGAATTTGCAATTGAGATCTGAGGATCTCTCCTAAAATGTTCCTAAGTCTATTGAGAATATTTACACCATTTAGCCCCTTAACCCCATGACGGAACAAGCATCACATTTCTAACAGAATCAAAGGCTGAATAAAACATCATAAAGACACGAGAGTAATGTAAAGGATGGATCGATGTCGTTATCGAAACAACCGCGCACCCTAACCCTAACTTGACATCATTTGACTGTTGTTGAGTAACGGGAGGGAGGGGTAGGTGCGCAGTTTGTCAGATACTGCGTTGATCCGAAATAACTGCGAACTAAAGAAGAAATTTTTAATGCTCTTTAGTACGCAAAAATTTCTCCTTGTCATTGCCAAAGGAAACGTTTAGAAACCAGTATGAAGAATAACCTCCCAGGTCTATCCTACTCTCGAGCCTAAGTGTAGCCGTACCCTTCCCCCGAGGAGAAGCGGAAGGGAGCCCCGATTCTCTTCGGGGGAAGGGTACGGCTACGCGTAGGCCAGCCTCCTCTCCTAAGAAACGAGGCTGTAATTCTTTTCTTAAAGAAGACTGACGTTGCTATATTTCACCACCGCATCACTATATTGCTGAAAGGTCGAGTTAAAAGGTACAACTGCGAATTAATAATTGTTCAATAACTAGGGAATAAATCACATTGATAATAGATCTTCGCTGGATTTTGACATCATCAATTCTTTAGCAGTTGCTTCGGTGGCCATGAGATGATTAACGTCTCCAAAAAAATCTCGCCTCCTGACTGGTGTCTCAAACAAAATAGGGCTAGACCTTGACTCTGCCAATCTATTAACAAGAAAAACGCATGGCTTTGTTAGACACGTCCGAACGTTCTCAGTAGCTTTTGGGCCCTACACGTAGGGTGGCGAAGTGCCGGCTGCCGGCGAAATTCGCCGATTGAAAGAGCGGCGATCGTCGTCTGGACTTTTGGCCGGCGATCTCGGGTAAAGTACAACGGGCTACATTTGTTTCGTCTCACTTGAAATTTCAGTCGAAAGCCTAATTTATTAGCTGCAATGCTGCACATGCTATGTGCGTTAGAAAACCCAACAGGACACGATTTTCTCGCAATAAGTCTGAGAATATAGTCTTTCACTTGATCAATGAAACGTATTTCAACGAATTGAGAGAGGTTAACCAAAGAAGATTACGCGAAGGGGCAAGGAGCTACAAGTAAATAATTTTCCGTCTGTTTTCAGCCTTTTTCTCGATTTTTATTAATCGGGAGTAAAAAAAGAAATTTGAATTAACTTCCTCAGCGTTCTTTTAAGGATTGGAAAGTAAACAAAATCAAAATTTATTCCAGTTGCTCTTGGCAGTTGCCGTAAGCGCCATGTCTACCCACTAATGTGGAGCTTCACGCGCTCCGAGCACATGAAGTCCATAGTGTACTAAGGGACTTTAGCAGTTGCCCAATACCCCTCTCCACTAAAAATTTTTGGGCTCCGGGTGCAAGTGGGTACATTCTGTTCACTGTGCCACCAACAACCCGAAAAATTCAAACACTTTTTAACAAATGGTAAACACCACAGCGTACACTATTGAGTTATGGATGTACGCGGGAGGTTGCTAAG